TATATATATATATATATATATATATGAAAACGCAAGGTCTTTTCCAGAAAAAAATATTAATGGTTAATCCGAAAAAATACAATATATAAAGTTTTTTTTAATGTATTTACCCATTTTTAAGAACATTTAGAAAAAATACAATGAAAGACGATGAAGAAAAAAGATCGACGATAACAAGAATATTTAGAATGTCATGCTATCTATTATTTTCACTTTAAACAATGTTTTGAGATTAATTGATGCTAACTCACATTTTGAACAATTAATCTGTTGGGACTTTGGGACATTAATCCCAAAATTTTCAAATTCATTGGTATTTTTTTTCATTCAATCATATTTTTTCATCATCGTTAAGAGAGTTTCTATATGTGTATAATACCCAACTTTTTTCCAATTCTTTTTTCTTGCTCGTCTTCAATATCCTTAAAAGCTTCTAATATACAATCAGACATCTTAGATGGACATGGTCCATCACGATAGAAGCTTGGATAATCTGAGCCAACATCAAGAGAATGAATTGAATTTGGAACAAAAACATTTTTCGTTTTCACAATGACATTAAACATATATCGGCAATACTTGCAAACCCTTTCCCTTACGAGGTCATCTTGGATTGAACAACATCACTCCAACTAAAACTTTTTATTTATAAAGAGATATGAAATTGAGACAAAAATAACATCACTTTTTATTTTGCGCTTGTAAAGAGATAAGCACAAAATTAACGAGGATATATTAATTTCGCAAGCATCATTCATTGATATGTAATTGGTTGTTAGTAAAATAACGATGTTCAAATAATTAGTCAGGTGATAACAATTTCAAAAGGGTTCCTTTTTAAACAACTTTTGGACTTTTAACTTATTCAAAAAGTCATAAAAGTCTCAAAAGTTGTTTGGTAATGGAAAAGTTCTTCTGCAAACAACTTTTACATAAGAAAATAAAGATGGCTGGACAAAAGACACGTTTTTGTAACTTTTCGTGACTTTTGGATCTGAAAAAAAAGTAAATTATATTAATGTCTTACAACTAACCTAATCAATTCACACATACCTCCACATATCTTCTTTTTTAGTCATTTTACAGGTAAAAATTAAGTCAAACACTTTTTAAGAACAACTTTTGACTTTTGCCCCTGGGAACAGTGAAGGAGCTTGAACATATAATTCGGGGGGGCCGAAAGTAAAAAACAAATCTAAAATTAACGTTATTACATATAAAAAATCATTTTTTCAGCATTTAAACACCAAAATACCTAAAGTTATCGTTTTTACATATAAAAAAGCCAAATTTTTTTAGCAATTAAACACCAAAAATACCTAAAAAAGAAATTACAACTCAGCTCGACGACCTTTAAGGTCTTTAAAATCATCAATTACCGACTTCGAATCAATGTTTTCAGCAATTTCCCTTTCTATGTAAACCACCAAATTGTTTGCGAGAAAGTCATCTGACATCTTATTGCGAAGACGGTTCTTGAATATTTTCATTGCAGAAAATCCCCTCTCTGTTGTTGTAGTTGAAACTGGAAGTGTCAAGATTAACCGAACCACTCTATCAAGCAAATAATACGTCTCACGTTTATGAGTTTCCACAAGTCCCTTGCATAGGTCAGCAATAGTGATACACCGCTTAGCCTTGGATTCTTTGTCATATCAATATTAAAAATCTCCAATTGATATCGTAATTGAATTCTCTCTTGCTCCGTAAAATCTTCAGGATAGTACTTCTCAACAAGAAGACAAATTTGATCAATGTTAATCACTTTAGGGTGTTCTTTTGAAACTAAAGTAGAACTAAGACGTAACAACTCCATCGCCTGATCATTAAATCTACTATTCAACTCATGTAACTGTTTGTCCAATGTGGATGTAAACAAATCTACTCGATAAAAATGTTCAAAAGTAACATGATTATCTATTTTTCGAGGCCGATATCGAGTAGAAGTATATGGAGCATTCATATCTGGCATATCTATTTGATGTTTCTCACAAAAAAATTGTACCTGTGCAACTAAAGAATCCCCATCCGTTGTTTCTGAAATCATTTAGAACCTCATTTGTTGTTGAAACTAACTCCATGGCATTAAGAATATCTTGGGATTTCTTTTGTAGAGCTTGAGAAAGTATATCAGTTTTTCCCATTAGTTCCTTCATCAAGTGAAGAATAAACACAAACTCAAATGATTTCAGGTAATAATAAGCTGCATCAACATCTCCGCGTTGAGAATAAGTAGCAGATATGTCAGCAATTATTCCTTGGAGCACAACACAAGTACAATCAAACATGTTAAGCAAACTACAAATGGAACGAAGATGAGAACCCCAACGTGTATCACCAGCTCTTGTTAATGTCCCAACTTGATTCAATCCTTTGCCTGATTCAATTTCACCAAGTTCCAATAAATGCCCAATCTCAGTTGCCTTTGCCTTTTGTAACTCATCATGACGCTTACTAGAAGCACAAACCACATTAATTATAAAAATTAAGTTTTGAAAAAAATTGGTGTACAAGAATAATTTCTCTTGAAGCAGCCACCAGTGCTAGTTGTAATCTGTGAGCAAAGCAGTGAACATAATACGCATAAGGACAATCCTTAAGAACAAGTGCATGTAATCCGTTCCATTCCCCTCTTATATTACTAGCACCATCATACCCTTGGCCACAGATTTTACTAACATCAAACTGATAGTGTAAAAGTTGTCTCCACATATTTGTTTTCAAGTTTAATGTTAAGGTATCCTTGACATGAGCCAAATCCAAGAATCTTTCCCGTATGATCCCTTCTGCATCAACAAACCTCAAAACTATGGCCATTTGCTCTTTTTTTAGACTCATCCCGTGACTCATCAACCATGACACAAAAGTATGAATCCCCCACTTCACTACGAATATGTTTTCGAACTTTATTTGCAATAATACTAAGAATTTCTTTTTGAATTTCTCCAGAAGTATACTTTGAATTATAAGGAGCTTTCTCTAATATAACATTTGCAACTTCATCATTATAAGATGCTAGAAGTTTTAGTAGTTGGAGAAAATGACCACGATTTCTGGAATTAGGACTTTCATCATTTCCTCGTAAAGCACAAGCTTGGAATGTCAACCAACGAACTGTGTCAATTGAAGCTTTTAATCGTAAACGATTCTTTCAATATTTGCGCTTCATTTTGCTTCATGATGATATTTTCAATGTGTGCTTCTTGGTTCATCAAGTTTTCAGCGAATGCAACTGCATTTCTATGCTGTGAACAACCAATGTGCTTCAAGAATGCACAATTTTTCCCGTCATTAACTTTTTTCCAATTGTCAAATCCTTTGACAGTAAATGCATCATAACCATGACACACACTTGGTTTATCGTTAAATATATAACAAATAAAACAATAAGATGAGTGTGTTGTTGGAGAATATTCTAACCAATTAGGAAAAATGTTGAACCAAGAATATTGGAATCTACGAGGATGTTTTCTTTGAACCTTTAGCATGATACTCTTTAATACGTATTTGGAAAGGTCCTAAAGTCATATAAGCTCGTCTTACTTATTCTCTTAAATTAACTGGAAAATCCCACATTTGTTTTCGTTTAGCAGGATCTCTTTCTAGCTGCTTAAGATCCACCTCATTAGGATTTGATTGTGTGGCTTCCGAAATGTCATTCTCTTGTTGATTTCCATGTTGTTGCGGTTGTGGCTCACTTGTTGAAGCTTTTTGACGTTTACTCTCATGATTTTCATTAAGTGTTTCTTCATCATCATCCACTCTTTTGAAAAAAGAATGAATGGTTTTCATCTTGCCCATGATTGTATCTATAAAAAAAACAAAAGGTATGAACCATTCATTCAAACTATCTTAAATTTCTGCAAAAGAAAACATATAAATTATAACATTGTGTGAAATCCCTAATTACTTGATTGTATCTATAAAAAAATCAAAAGGTATCAACAATTCATTCAAACTATCTTAAATTTCTGCAACAGAAAACATATAAATTATTACATTATGTGCAATTCTCAGTTTCCCAAATGAAGGAACAATTCATATTAATCATTAATCAACAATCTCAACTTATTTACACAAACAACAAACAATTAGAGCCACTAACAACCAATTAAGCAAATGGAGAAAAATAGGGAATTTAGAAATATAGAATTAGAATTTATAAAAGAAATAAGCTAAAAACGGAGGCTAGAAAGTGAGAACAATACTTGATTTTTTAATTTTTCTTCCGTGCAAAAGAAAGAACAGAAGAGAAGATTAAATGTTTGTTGCCGCCTACTGTGCTAAGCTGCTGCGTTTGCTGGTGGAGTCGTGGAGGCCGGATTCCGAAAGGTGACCTGCCGCATGCGGTGGCGGAGCTGAGGCGTGAGGGACTCAGGGCTGAGGCGTCCGACCAGCAGCGACAAATGAAGAATGGAAGGTGAGGATTGTTGGATTGGCCGATAATTGGGGATTCGATTAACCATTGTCGTTCACGTCTTCCGATTGGGCAGGAGGCGTCACAACCCAATTTTCACAATCCTGGGCCTATATCTCGAAAATTTTAATTTAATTGGACTACTTCTAACCCAAAATTCAGGGGGGTCCAAGACCCCTCCTAGCCCTTTAAAAGATGCGTCCCTGCCTAGGAAAGCTAATCCAAACACATTTTAAAATACTCATTTTACAAAAAGTCCTTCTAAAAAAAAATTTAAAGAATTTTGAGGTTAAAAAGTAATCCCAAACACATTTTAATCCCAAACACCTTATTCGTCGCACCCTACAATTTCACATTGTCATATGGTCTAACAAATGACATAACAGCCGTTTATAATCCAGTCACCGATAACAGAGATCGCGCCAAACAAACCATTTGAACTTCGAGTCTTCTCTCACATGGCAATCAAATTCTGCTATCTGAGTTTTAGATCTCCATTAATGACATCTTCTTAGGGCACACATCTTGAACTCAGTTTGTTGCTGCGTTTTTTAGTTATATGCAACAGATATGCCTTTGAGGTATGTCGATGAATAGAAGAGAGGCCGATCTACCGGCGGACCACCCAGATTCAAATTTTCACCGCTCATTTAATGTAACAACGTCGTCTTCATCATCATCTGCTCCCTCCAACTTCCTCCGCGACTTACAAGCCGCCTATAAGCGTCAACGTAAGCACAATCCCTAGAAATATCGATACATTTGTTCCTTTAATTAATATTCCGTGTTATTCTAACATATATTGTCCTTCCAGTTTCTTTTATGGTACGATTTCATTTTGTGAAAGTTAGGGCTTCTTCTTTCTAGATTAGACTCCGCCTCTAGTTCAGCAATGACTAATAACTACAATGATATAATCAGATTTACATTTACATCCGTGGGACATAGATATACCAATCTAGGGTACTTTAGACCTTCACTGCCACTTAGAGGTCACTAGGTCATGGTTGCTACTTTTATGTGTCTGTGTTTTAATTTAGGAATTCTATAATAGCAACTTTAATTGTACTTTATACCTTAATTTCTTCCAGGAATAATACAATATGGTTTGTTTACTTGACTGCTTTTTAATTAATATTGCTGGACACTGATTTTTTATCAACTTCACCTTAACAGCTTTAGGTATGATGGCACAGCTGAAGCCAAGACGTTCAGTGGTTCGAGGGGAAACAGGAAAGAGCTCAGATCCAGCAGTTGACTCCAAAATGAGAGCTGAGTCTCCTTATCTTCATCTAAGTAAAAAAGTGCAAGATTACATTTTACAAACAAAGAATATGCCATCTTCTAGTCCTTTTAATCATGAGGATGCTTCAATCACGCCACCTTCCGTATCAGATAAAACCAATGATGAAGGAAATCCAATATCAATAGAGGCTGAGAGAAGTCAACCTAGTTTTGGTACTAGTTGTACAAGCAACAACACAGCTTGTTCCTCAGTCATGGAACGTGACAATGGCCCAAAGAAGGTTCAGTTTGCATTGCAAAAGAATACAAGGTTTCATGGTAATTTTTGCTAGCCCTTGTCCTATTTGTTGGTTCAAGTCCTTTTTTTCTTGTCTTTTGCTTTTCTTATAAGATTCTGATGATTAAGGTAAAAAAAAAAATATGAGTGAGGTGTTTGTAATGTGATGTACCACACAAAAGCATAGTTACTGCATAATCTTATGAAGCTCAGTATTGCAATTATTACCCATTATTGTGTATAATTCACAATGCTTGAGCAGGGTCTGATGATCACATGAGCACAGGAACAGACAACTATTGACTCATATAGATTCACCTGCATTGACAGAAATGGAAAGCAATGGAAGTAATCAGTTGGATGTCTCAGCAGCTGCTCACCAGAGTTTTCAAAACATGGATGTTGATCTTTGTTACAAAACTAATGATGATCAGAATCAGATTAACCCTTTCAGAAACTTCCTACAAAGGGACTTTGGTCATAACATGACCCAATCATCAGTTGTTGACTCATCTTGTGCTACCACAACACTCGTGAATTCACAAAATGCTCCCATGCTTAACTCAACTACCAACTGTTCCCACCCTCAACAAAATAGCATTCAGACTGGTGAATATTCTCATGTACAAAATCAACCCTTGCCTTCTGATCATCTTGGTTCCTTAGTTCCCTCTGCTTCTGTGGGCTCAAATCTTGAAAAGAAGCATGAGTTTTCTAAGGATCAACAAGGAAAAGAAGAAGGGTATTCTGGTATGACTAAAGACCCTCCTCTCCCTGCTGAGATATCAACAAAAGGAAACACATTTGCTGCTGATATTACTGATATACAATCTGAAGCTCCCATATCAGACGACCATTTTTCTAATGTGAAAACAGAAGCTTCCAAATCTGAAAAGAAGGAAAAAAGTAGTCGTAAGAGAAATTATGATCCAGACTTGTTTTTCAAGGTCAATGGGAAGCTGTATCAAAGGCTTGGAAAGATAGGTAGTGGAGGAAGTAGTGAGGTCCACAAAGTCATTTCTCAAGACTGCACAATTTATGCCTTGAAAAAGATAAAGCTTAAAGGGCGTGACTATGCCACTGCATATGGATTTTGTCAGGAGATTGAATATTTAAACAAACTCAAGGGAAGGGACCACATTATTCAACTGATTGATTACGAGGTATGTTCTCTAGACATGTAATCACTTCACTTATGAAATATACTCTAAGTTTGCTGATTTCAGTATGTGAGTTTTAGACACTAGTTAAGAGACAAGCAGATGAGAACATTTGATCCTTGAGCAGCCTTCTAACATGCAACTCTTGTTAGGTGACAGATAAGGCTTTGATGAAGGAAGTGATGAGTGGGTCTGTGAGTAACAAGAATGGGAAAGTGAAGGAGGATGGGCATATTTACATGGTGCTTGAATATGGTGAAATTGATTTGGCTCACATGTTATCCCATAAGTGGAAGGAGCTTGATAACTCCAAATCCAACTCAACCATAGATGAGAACTGGCTCCGTTTTTACTGGCAGGTTCTTTTCAACTCTTTAAAATCATTCCTACAGTTCCATATATATATATATATATATATATATATATATATATATATATTGATGGGACAAATATTGTGTAACAAATGTAGCCATATGCATGCTTAGGGGAGTGTCCCGATTTGAAAATGATTTTAACACAATGGACAAGCATGCACTTGTTATATGCCCTTTAGTTTATATTCCTTTGAAGTTACAGCCCTTGTAAATTAGCAGGTGAAAGGAACATGCTATGAAAATCATGATTGCAAAAACTAATATGTAATGTGTATTTTGTAAATTATAATGAATGGCAGCAAATGCTTTTGGCTGTGAAAACGATACATGAAGAACGTATAGTGCACTCGGACTTGAAGCCAGCTAATTTTCTCCTTGTGAGAGGCTCCCTGAAGCTAATTGATTTTGGTATTGCAAAAGCCATCATGAGCGATACAACAAATATTCAACGAGATTCTCAGGTTACTCCATCTACACTCTGCCTAGATGACTTTGGGTCTACCATATCGATTTTGGTTGCATAAAGCAATAGAATTTAAAAAAAATCCATGGAAGATATTTGTTGAATTTTGTAATATATGATAGTAGACATTTATAATTAACACGACAATTAATTGGACAGCAATAGAAACTAGAAATACCTTAAATAATTAATCAAGTAAGAAACTTATGTGTTATAAAAACAAAGCCGTGTTAAGATACAATACACCATGTTGTGTTTTATTATTACATAAGACATTTACTTGTGTATATAACACCGCAACTAATTGGAGAGCATCCTATGTTTATTTATTTTTTTTCCTGTTACAACATTGTACTTAATATTCTAAGTCATATATAGCAATGTCACCCAAATACAAAACAATTGGACAAAAATTTCAAAGTATAATATCCTAATAAAGAAAAAATCCAATGCTATAACCACGCACAATTATACCTTAGGAAGAAATTTATTAAAAAACATGAATCTAACAAAAGGAAACGAAAGTAGGATGCTATAATAATACACAAACAAATGAAAATATGTTTCTTGAATTAATTGGCAGGTGGGTACGTTGAGTTACATGTCTCCAGAGGCATTCATGTGCAATGAGACAGATGCACAAGGCAACATAATAAAATGTGGGCGTCCATCCGATATCTGGTCCCTTGGTTGTATCCTTTACCAAATGGTCTACGGGAGAACACCCTTTTCAGATTACAAAACTTTCTGGGCCAAATTCAAAGTCGTCACAGATCCACACCACAATATCCAATACCAACCCGTATCAAACCCATGCCTTCTCGATCTCATGAAGAAATGTCTCGCATGGGATCGAAACCAGAGATGGAGGATCCCCCAACTTCTTCAACACCCGTTCCTCGTTCCTCCACTTGAACAAGAACAAGATAATACAAATAATTGTAAATTTATTCGCTTGGTTTCTGAATCTTGTGTAAATAATCCGAAAGCGTTGATGATATGTGGTCGAATTGAGGAACTTATAAGAGACCCGTTACGGGATGCAACAACAACAACCGAGGAGTCGAGATGTATATCAGGATTGTTGTATGAAATGTCAAAACTTTGTGTTCAACTTAAGGAGGAATTGGAAGATGAACAGAGATGATTGGTTGGTTCGTTGCTGTATAATAATTTAGTATGGTTTATTGGATACAAAAGGTCCCATGGTATGGATCAGATGAGTTGGGGGTAGTGTTAGCAAAACAAGACTGAATTGGAGAATGATGGTTTCTGTTGACTTCTTACAATGTGTGTAAAAGTGTTATGTCTGTTGAATTGATAGTTATTTTTTTGGTTTTGGTTTTTGGTGCAGTTTAATAAATTTTGTCCACAATTGTTGGTCAAAGTTCCATTTCATCTCTTTAGAAACTGGATCTTTCTTTTTTGTTGTTATGTATCATAGATTTTTCAATTTCGCAAGTGCATGGGCAATTGTACTTGTATGTGACCTCCAATGCCTCATACTCGTCTCGTAATATTTTTTTAACAACTTTAAGTGGTTTTTATAATTATTATAGATATTTACAACAGTTTCAACATTTTGGTTATGGAGGTCGGAGGTTCGATCCCTTTCCATATCCCATGTATATCTATACGGGTCATAAAAACCGGGTTTGGGGTACCCAACCATCCTACCCTACACAAGTTCGTCCCACCCAACTTTTATATATAATTAGTTTTTTATTTTTTATTTTTTTTAATGTATGTATTTTCAAAAAAAAAAAATCATTTTTTATAAATTTATTTTCTAATTTTTTACATGATCATTTTCATACATATAATGTTGTAAAAACATGTGAAAATTTGTTTTTTTTGTCCGCAAGTCAAATATTCATTGTCATACATGATTAAATTTAATCATATTGCTAAATAAAATTATATATTGTCTATGACAGATACACAAATTTGTCACAACATCGTTATGGTTTTTATTATATGTTGTATATTGGTATTATGATATTACTGAAAAAATCTAAATATGGGTAAAAAATTAAAATAGATTCTCCGGATGGGGTCCGATTCCGGTTTGCCGAGTCGTTAAACCGATGAAACCCTGGGCCGGGATGAGAGCGGGAACACTAGCATCCTTGTATTCAATTTCAACCCCACTTGGGCCACTCCAACCTTACAGTAAGCTATAAGTGTCTAAGGGACTGTTTGTTTGGCCTCTTAATGGCCCCATAAAGAGGCTGAGGCTCTGTTTGATAATCATCTGACCGAGTCAGGTCAGACATTTTTGTCTAACTCGGTCAGTTAAAAGCTGTTTGGTAAATCAATTTGGAGCATCTGACTTGGAAAGTGAAATCTAACTCGGTTAGAAGAGAGCAATTGGCTGACTGAGAAAGGAGAAGCATATGCCACTTATGCCCTTGTCCTACCTCTCTTCTTTCAGTGCCTCCATACCCGACGAACGTTTCTTGTGTAACTCTATCATTTCTTGTCTGCAATGTTGTATAAAACGGGTGTGGCTTGCCATATCTCTGTCGTTTTTTGTATGCGATATCTTGAGAGTATGTGCTTCGACGAAGGAAATTTTAGGAAGAAAATGTGACGGCGCCTGATTATTCAAAAGAAATTGTTAAAAATAAAGATATGTAAAAGTGCAAGTAGGTTAAATGGTGTTTGAGCTTGTAAGCATTATTTGGGCTTTTTTATTTGAAGTTTTCAAAGCTAAATTTTATACCACGACTCATAAATGTCTTTTATTACTATTAAAACAGAATATAGTTATAAAATATTTTCAAAATAATATCTTTTGTTTCATATGTTATATTTTAAAATATCATAATTATCTTTTATTTTCTCTCAAAAAATTAGATTATAATATAAAAATATATTATTTTTTATAACTATATAAAAATAAAACTAAATTATAAAGGATAATAAAGATGATAAACTCTCTCAAATATATCATTGCACTTATTATGAAAATGTTTTTTTATTTTTCTAATTATGATTTACGTTTAATTTACATTTTGAATGTCGATTTGTATGTTTTAATTAGTTAGCAATTTCATTTATTATTGTATAGAACAGCAGGGTAAAATTGTCATTTTTCATTAGTCAGCACATTTAGTCAGATGTACAATCAAACAACATGATTTCTTACTCAGTCAGAATTTATTACCCAGACAGACCTTTCTCAGTCAGCACTTTCTCAGTCAATATCTATCAAACGGGACCTGACTCTGATTCAGATTCAGAGCGTTTGGTTGATACCCTTTTAGTTTGTTATTCGGTCAGATATAGGAAAATTTGGTCTGGATGGGAAAGAGATATTAAGGAGTCTGGATGAAAATAATTAGGCCTGGCAACGGAGCGGGTTTTGACCCTGATCCGATCCAAACCCTTAACAATTATACGGGTTTGGAGCATAGTTTTTGATCCATTTGCCCGTTAACGACCCATACCCACTAACCCTTTTATTAAAAGGGTCGGGTATGGATCATCACCGATCCGCTCCATTTATAACCCGCCCCATATAAATTTTATAATTATACATTTATAGTTTATACTACCTAAAGTTTACTTAATTTCCAATCGAAAGTCCAAAGAGAAAATGCCAAAAACTAAATTGTTTTTACATAAGACTCGAGGACTCAACTTCTAGACTTCCGGTCTTCTCCCAAGAATCATGATGTCATTTCATTTATATTTCATCATGTAATCACCAATTTCATTTATAAATCAATAAATTCATTTATCAACCGGAAGAAAGTTTGTAATTCATATTCTCTATCAATGCAATCGACGGTCAAAAACCAATCGGAAGTAACTACGATAATGATTTTAATTCCAATCGAAAGTCTTCGAGTACATAACGTGTTTTCTAAATCTACATTTGTGTTATTTAATAAATGTGATTTTATGATTTAAGTAAAATGTGTTTGATTATTCAAAAAAAACCTACGGGTTACGGGGCGGGTTTAGATATCTGCTGATTCGGTGGATAAGGGTATGAGTTTGATTATTTAAAACCCTGCGGGTTACGGAGCGGGTTTGGATCGGATTTTGGAATTTGTTAAAAAGGTTTGGATGAAGGTGGATTCGCTCCAAACCCGCCCAATGCCGGGCCTAAAAATATTTCAATGCGATACCCTTACCTAAAAAAAAACGCCCGCCATTTTTTTGTTTCCCCTCTTCCTATACATCGAGAACTCCTCTCTCATTCTCCCTATTCTTCAGCCGTCGGAAGCTTCCCTGCTAGCCTCCGACTTCATCGCCGCCTACTCCTGTCGGGCCTCCGACAACGCTGTTCCGTTCCGCCTTCGTCATCTCCATCCTCGCCTCCTCCCACTTATCTGGTAAGTTTTTTTGATTTGGTTTTTTGCTCGAAATTGATGCTTAAATCGTGTTCTTGCTGCTCGATTTTGGATGAAATTCGTGTTTCGATCGTGTTCTTGTTGCTCTTTTTTTGTTGTTTGTGCAATGTTCTTGTTGTTCTTCACAAGTTCGTTGAGTTGTTGTATGCAATTTGTGATATGGGTTGATATTCTCTTGACCCGATCTTCCATTGTTGGTGTTTCTAGGGGGGGCAAGTGTTGTGAGAGTGTGATTGAGATGGCAAGAAATGGTGAACTATTTGGGGATTTGATGATTCCACAGGTTAATACCGAGAGGATATGAACAATAGACCCTCTTTTTTGGAAAATATTATGAAATATTGTTATAAAATTGTTATCCTTATACTATGACATAAGGATCTATATATAACGAATTTGGATGTTTGTATGATGTCTAATTATTTATGATGTTTTATAATGTTTAATTTGTATGTAAAAAGTAGTTTAGAGGGTTAAAATGGTCATTTTTCCTCATTAAGATGCAGCCATTCAGAAGTGTAAACAAATATCAATTTATGGTTCAGATACATATTCATAAAGATCCTTTTACATCATCCAGATATAAATCATTCAGATGCTACCAAACAGCCCCTAAGCGAAGTTGATCAATTTGAAACTACTGGATATGGCAACAATCGGATGGTACGGACCTCTAATCGATCTCTCACAAGCCTCTTCTCACAGTGGTTATTTCGTTCAACTTCTTGTGCTTGTTCATAACACCCTTCCTGTACAGGTTCTCAATACTTTTCCCAATTCTAAACTTTTCTCCATATGTTGACTAAACCTGGGAGATTAATCAAATCTGATAATTCTGCAGTATAAAACTTCGGGAGGCGGAAAAGTAATCAGGACAGACATTCAAGTCGGGGACGATACACGTCGGTATTTCCCTGTTTCCATATGGCAAAAGCACATGGAATCCATGTTAAAGCCCGGAAATATTATTCTGCTACAGAGTGAGTTTCAGTTGACACCATCCATTCCATTTTTTTTTCATTCATCCATGAAACCTAACCAAATTTTTGATTGAAGATGAGTGATCCTACTCTGCCTGATACGTATTTGTGCAATGGATGTTTTGCTTGTTCAATATACCTTATTGTTAGTGGTGTTTGGATTTGCTGCTAAAGTGAATTCACAATAATCAGTTTGCAAAGCCTGATTTAGTGTTTGGTTGTGTAATGTCAAACTAATCAGAGTTGGAGTCTTAAAGAGTTATAAGGCAACTGATTACTGAGATTACCTCTTGATTTTGAGTTTTAAATTGATTTTGCAATAATCACTTTGAAAGATCCCATACAAATGCTGTCTTATTAAGGTATTACAGTATAATGTAATAATGGCTGCTTAATCTACAATCAACACAGTTTTTATTACCCTTCGAAGTTGAAAAGTAACTCAAGTGGACTCTTTAGGTATCTTCAGCATATAGGCATATGGCCTTTGTATTCTTAATATTGACCTTTTTTGTTATTACAGTTTAGCAAAACAAATGTAGTGATGATGAAAGTGGAATTGCTTACATGATCCTCATTAACATCTTTTACGTTATAGATGTCAAAGTGACCCAATATGGAGATGTTGTTGAGGCCAGAACAGTTCAACAGTCATCCATACAATGCTTGGTGGATGGTTATGAGGAAATTCATTCTAAAGGTTTTGAACCCCTTCTTTTTTTTTCTTTTTCTTGTACCTCAAGGTTATTTTTGTATTTTTACTTAAAAACATATCGCGTTACTTGATAATATAGGTGAAAACAACTTGATAAAGGTTAATCATATTGGAATTGCAACAAAGGAAAAGCTTAAGAAAGTTGTTGCATGGGTGGTGAGAGTAGAACCTATTCCCAATAAGCATCTGTTGCACAACTACAAGGTATTGTCAGTGGCTAAATTGATAGAAAAAAAACAATAATTCAGTGGCTAAATCGATAAAATGGTGAAAGCACATTGTGCTTTTTTCTGTATTCTGAAAAGGGCGTTCTTTCTAACCATATTAACTTTCCACACTGAGGAATCAGAATCTAACAAACTGGAAACTCCATGAAGAGACACAACATAAAGATTGTTTATCTCTATCAGATGTATCCAAACTAAACGATTCATGCAATGCATCCTTTTTTGCATCCATTGGTGAAATGTTTCTGCCTATTACGGGTGAGTTTGAGGAGGAAAGAATGTTTATCAGAAGTAGAATATTCTCATTGGGTTACAAAAACCTAACTGAAGATCTCATTTGTACTGGATGTCAGTTATGTGGTGCTCCTTTAAATTCTGAATTTGGGTATGCATAAACTTTTCTTGTTTAATTTTGTTTTGTAAAATGATTGTTGATAGTACTAAAATTCATTCCATATTTTGTAAAGGCAGATCAAGAATTGAACAAGAAACTGTTCCACTCTATTGCCAGAAAAAGCTCTAATCGTCTCCATGTTGTAAGCTTGATTTACAGACCTTTTTTGGTATGTCTATGCATAATCAAGATTTTAGTTTTTGATTGATGATCATTCATCATATTCTAGTGATGTTGAAATGCAGTTATATGTGTGGGATGAGTCAGCATATATTCCTGTTGTGGTTAAAAACAAGGCTGCTGAAATCTTGGTTGGAAACATCAAAGCAGAGAGTGTTCACTCCACCTACCAAAAGCAAAAGCAAGGATGTGGTCAAAGGGCAAATAAGTCCATGGAAGAACAATGTGGACAAGGTCTGGACTTTTACTCACTCTGGTTAATACTACTGAAATCATTATTGCAACCTGGCAAGAATAGTCCTTTGAAATTTAAAGTTAGAGTTGATATGACAAAAAAATGGGAAAATGGGAGGTTTGAGATGCTGTCTTTCTCACTTCCTTTGTTTTCCCACAATTCTCATTAACTTTGCATATATTTCTTTCCATTTTTAAGATTATAGTCTATTAACCTGTTTGATACATATCTACCTGGCATATTTATACTGTAATATCATTAGTTACATCATGTTAGTAGTAGATAATATTAATAAAAATATATGAAAATGAAATGAAAATGATTCAGTTTGAGATGTTTTTGAATTTTGAATCCCTCGTGATGCTCTAGGAACGTCAAAAGTATGAATTTGGTATGTAATAAATAATCGTAGTGTCTTATGGAATATTTAAACAAAAATTATTTGATGTAAATATGCATGTACCACTTGAAATGGTATTTGAGAAATAGGTTATACAGTCGGAGACTCGGAGAGATGAAAAAGAAAATAATGATATATCTGTAAAAAGTTAAAACAGATTCTCCTTTTCTTAAATTTTCTTATTAAATTGTTCTTTATGTATAAGTATATAAAAAAAAGTCAATATGTAGCTTATTTTAGGTGACCCCATTAATAAATGAACATCACATGTTTAATTTTTTAATACTTATTTAACCCTTGATTTGACTTTTTTTTTTGTCAAATCAAAATGGTGTACAATATGCCGGTTCCAAAAAAAAAAAAAAACAAAAAACAAAAAAAAACTCATCGTGCATTAGATATCCACATAAACAATTAAGTGAGAGCTCATAGAGAAGATGACAATAAATAAATTAATACAAAGTTATAACTTTGTTACGTGTAATATATGGGCTCCTATAGTCCTATTACTCCTATATGATAAATAATTTCTAAATGTTTATTAGGCGAATGAATGTTTTTTCAGGTCAGCATCAGCCCATTGAAGTGAGTCAAGTGACATTAATATGAATATGGGCTAAAAAATAGACAATGAGAGGACCCACCCTCTCATTCATCACAAGCTTCCATGTATATAAACTTTATGTTTTGTCTTGTTTTTAACTGGAATGTTAGAAACGATCATCAAAAAGTTTGAGAATCTGAGAAACTTTTGATCAAATGGTTACAAATGTGAGGTTTTTACATACAAAGAAGGCATTTAAGTGTATATTTTTTTTCGTAATTTGCGTTAATCAGTAATTACTACCTTAATCTATGTTAATATATTATTTTTACAGTTTAGTTTTAAGAAAAAGAAAAACGAATATATTAAAATTCACAATTTTTAGTTTCTACAAGCAAGACATATATATATATATATATATATATATATATATATATATATATATATATATATATATATATATATATATATATATATATATATATATATACCTTGTGTTTTTCACATTAAAATAGAGTATGTATTCAGTTCTTTGTTCGTTCACATATGAACAGTTTTCACATTAACATTTTTGTTTTTCATATTTGAATAATGACAAGTCAATCGAGTTCTTTGTTCGTTCACATATGAACAGAAGAATGTGTTCCATTTTTATGCAAGTTGGTTGATCGTTGAAATGTGAATGTATTCGGTTGGATGAAGCATTTAGAACTAAATAATTAATGAAAACCATTGTTATTCATCATTAACTAGTCATTATTATGTGTGATATTGGTCATTCACATGACTTACCAAATAGTTGGTATAAAAGTTGGGTACATTTGTTAATAAGCCACGAGCCATAATTAAAAGTAGATATAGTGGTTATTAACATATAAATAACCTACGAACTATAATAAAAATTAGATACATATGAAAAATACATATGGCAGAGAGTTGATGTGATATAAAAAAGTCATATTTTGTATAAAGATAAGATTAATTTCATAAAAAAACCTTATCTTTGTGTTTTTTTTTGGGATTAAACCTTAAATTTTAAAAAAATAATAATAAAAATAATATAAATAAATAAATTGGGTTTCTGTGGGGAGTATGCAATTCATCGTAGAGAGCTCACGATTTTCAAGTACCGACACGATCTGGTTAAGGATGTTATGTTCGACATATTTAGACACGTCGGGGTTTCTGCAAAGAAAGAGACATTTGTGAACTTTTTGACTGGCCTGATGGAAAGAATATCAACACTTAGATCAGCTAACGTTTTAGTTTTTGAATAAGCATGAGGGAAGCATGCATGTATGGATCTAACATTGGTTTCCCCTCTTGTGAGTTTGGTGAGTGAGGTTTTCACTGTGGGGCAGGTTGCTTTAAAAGATGTCTCATGCAAAGTAGCAAAACACGACAAAACGTGCATGAAAAATCAACACACGTTTATACCTTAGTTTGATACTTTTGGTTTCCTTGAGCCAGATTGTTGTGGAGTTCCTCAATAGAATACAACAGGTCATGCATAATAATGTTATGACTTTAATATCTATGGATGTTGGTTTTAAAAGAACTAGTTTTATCATCCAAAAATGGTTAGTGAAACAGATTGTTGTCTGTTTACGGCTACATCCATGTAAAACTTTTATGATTATTATCAATCTAAAATACTTTTGTTAAGACCTTGCATTTTTTTCAATCTGACCATTTTAGTTATTTTTTCTTGAAAAAAACTTATAAAATGTGGGTTTTTTTTATGGAAAAAAAGGTAAAAAAAAAAGTTGAGGGTTTTTTGGGAAATAGGTAGAAGATTGAGGGTTTTTTTTTTCTGAAAAACAAAAGTTGAGGTTTTTTTGAAAAAAAATACAATGTCTTTTTAAGGAAAAAAATAAAATTAAAGTTTAATCCAGAAAAAAAACACAAAATATAATGCCTTTTACGAGATTAACCATATATCGATATATATGTTTATTTGTAGCTAAGAATGGCTTATGAATTCTCAATAAAATTGGCATGCTAATTATTTTTTAAATGAAAATATGTTTATATTAAGGTAATCGTTAGCGAAGTCTAATAACACAAACCAATTAGCAACTCTAATTTGTAGTTGAGTCATATGTTAAAGTTACATAAGAACATATGTTTTTGTTCCTAATTACAGTTAAGCCACCTTGATTTTGATAAATTGTTCTAATTGTTGAAATTCTTTTTCGTATTCTTGATTGTTTTGGTGTTTCATTTGAATATCTCTTTACTTTACTTTTTATAATAGTGGGCCGACATTGGTGCCTTCGACCCACGGATACAGGGAAGGTAACCCATCTCAAAAGAAAGACAAACCCTACAACTGCTTCTGCTGCGAACCGACTCCAAACACTGAACCAAAACCCCAAAACTAAACTCCATCAATACACATATCTAAACCCAAGCACTAGGCCCACTAATGGCCCAACTAACCAAGCCCATAATTAGCCCAAGCCCAAAGGGCCCGAACAAGGCCCAACTCTATTGGGCCCACTAAGGCCCATCAAATCAAGCCCAAACAGAAGTCCATTACTCTAAAATCCTTAGTTCATTATGAGCCCAACCAAAGGAAAAGTCCAAGACCAAGCTAGCCAACAATCAAAGAGTCCAAACGTGCACAAGAGATGCTCATGTCGTGAGCACTTATGCTCACGTCGTGAGGTTGTGACCTTTGGCCCAAAAACTCCCTCGAACACGATCTCACGTTGTGAGGTCTTATTCCTCACGTCGTGAGTCCAGATCTGACCAAAAATGAGCATTAAGCTCCTAATCCATTAAGCCTTAACATGGGACAGTCTAGAGGGTCTTCCTTGACCCCAAGGGCCATAAAAATCGAAGCTTTTCAGTCATGTATGTCTGATACATGACTCAAATACCAACTTAGGTCAAAATGGAGGAAAAAGGACCAAGACTCAAGCTTGGAGTCCAAAACCATGACCAAAATCCAGATCTAAGACTTATAAGACTTAAGATACCACCATGATCCATAAAGTTGCCAACTTTATGGATCCTCTGCATGCTAACCAACATTACAAGCCATAAAATGCATGGAAACTTAGATCTAGCAAGCAAGGAAAGGAAATGCATGAGCTTGAGGACTTACACAGGCCCAAAAGCTCCACAACTAGCTGATGATGAAGCCAAGATGATAACCAATGCACCACTAATGATCTTCTTCTCCCAAAAGCTCTTGAATAACACCAAGAATGACCAAGAACTTCAATGGGGGCTGAGATTAGGGTTTCTAGAGGTCTTGGAAGTGAAGGGGGCTGAGGAGGAGCAACCCTAATCATCTCATGCCTTTAAATACCCGAAAATAAGGGTTTTGGGGCATCAGGTTCCTCTCACGTCGTGAGCCTTAAATGAGCTTGGTCACCAAGTCAACGATCACTCATCCGAACCACCCAAACTTTAAACGGCCATAACTTATTCGTTTCAACTCCATTTTCGACGTTCTTTATATCCACAGAAAGTTCTCGGAGAGCTCTACCTTTTTATCACCCCCTGCCATAAAACTTTCCGAACAAAAATCTACTTCCATAAAAGGCCCAAACTGCCACTTTACCGATATACCCTTGGTCTCCAAAAACACAAACCGAACTCTCATATCATCTAAGCTACATTACCCACACCCAAAGGGGTCTAAACCTTTCTTCCCCAAGATCTAAAGCCTCCTGGTAACATATATTCGGGTCACGGCCCCAAATATGAATCAACTTAAAATAGGATGTTACAACTCTCCCCCGCTTAAATTAGATTTTGTCCTCGAAATCATTCCTTACCATCCCCGACCCAACAGACAACCATGCCCCAAGCATACCACAACCTTTCCAAGGCAACCGAAACCAAACCTAGCCGAACTCTCTAAACCCGAAGAAGAACAAATCCTTAATCCCTTGCAAAAAACCACATCTACCTTTCTGAAGCCTGAAATCTCAAATTGGTCTGACTTCCTGACAGATCGCCCACACTGAACCACTACCATACTGAATCTTCATAGAATACCAGACTAAACAATCCACTTCCAACCCTGATTATCTTGATGCGTCCATTGGGAACAAAATCACTGAACATATACTACAACAGAACACTTATACTCAACAGAAGGCTCAGATAATCCTTCGAGTAGAAGATTCATCCCGCAACGGTTAGACTCAAACGAGAGTTGTGCAACAGTGTCAAATCAATTACTCTAAGATTATTTAATCCAAACTGCAAGTGACTTAACATTTTCCTGGATAGCAAGCGACTCAACACACGAATCCCAAATCACTAATATTGCCCGAATCAACGTGTTGTTCCCTTGTTGCTTTCCAAAAGCAGTTGAGACCTCCCTAGTCCCAACTTGTCTGTCAACTATCTGAAACACCGGATTCTCGTCCGGTTGCCGAGTCTAAAGACACACACACAGTCGCCCCACGCGACTTCCGATTTTGATTAAAGGATGCTACCTCATATTTTGAACAATCCACGTTTATTTTAGGACATTAGGACCTTGATTTCGTATTTTTAGAATTTTAAACTATTTAAACTAAATTTAACTGGTTTTATAAATTATTTTAAAACCACTCATGTGATGGATGTTTCACTTTTCACATATTAGACATAAACTTAGTGTTATGAGGGCTACATGTAAAACGAGGACAGTGTCACTGCTAATGCACCATGGGGTGGATATTTGTGAACATATATATTTGATGATGGTGAGTTTTTTGGTCCGTTTTGTAAGTATAAGTGTGTTCGAATGGGTTGTTTATTGAATAAGTGTTTATTGTAATTAAGGTGTTTTTATACATTCGTACGTGGGCATGCAAATTGAGTCAAATAAGGATTCTGACAAGAAAGAATCGGAACGAAATTAGCATTTTGATATGGTTTAGGATGAAGAGGTTGATAAGATTGAGATGCAAAGACGATATGTATCACATTTAATTAATTTTTATATTTATTATACCCTTTAATATATTAGTACGTTGATATGCAGGTTGGATTGAGTAAGAAATATGACATAAAAGATTCCAATGAAGATGATGATGATGTAAAGAAGGTAGGTATCACATTCATTAAAATGTTATTTGTTATACCATTTAATGTATTAGTATGGTGGGTGCAGGTTGGCCGAATAAGGAAGATGACAAAAAAATTAGAAAGCAAATTATGAAGACATAAAACATTGAAGATGCAAGGAAGGAATTCGTATATGAAACACAAAAATATGTGAAGCAGTCATGAAGCAAAATGTAATAACCTCTTTTCGGGTCTAGGATTTTTGTCTATTTATTAGTAGAAAAATATTTTTTTTGAGATATGAATTAATTAAATAGATAATAAAAATAGAATAAACTAAACTAAAAATTCAAAGTAAAATGAATAAAAAAATATAGGGAAATAATTTAAATAAATATTTTAAGAATATTTATATAAATATTTGGAAAAACGAAACCAAATTAAACTTTAATTTGAAAATATGGAAGTTAGGGTTAAACTCGCCAATTAGCCAAATTGGAGTTGTTTAGTCACAACTTGTACTACGACTAAAATGATAAGAATTGTTAATAATCAACAAGTAAAGTTGAGAATGTGAGAAGCTTTTGATCAATTTTGATCAAATGGTTAAAAACTATGTGTTTGTTCGTCATGTATTGTGATAACGGCAATTTGATGAATGGTGGGTTGTATTTGTAAAACATATACAAAGTATTCAATAAAAATGTACCAACTAAATTTCGCTACATACATATTTCGTCACAAAAGCAATAACCAAAAATGACAACAACCAAAACGCAAAGATTAAAATCGGGACTAAAAGAAGCAACTAAATTCTAGTATTAGTCGAGTCTTTTCAACCGGCGGTAATCAAAATTCCTAGAATGATGATGTCTTTGTTATGTTAAAGCATATTCTATTCAATGATATATCTAATAGTAGTTAAATATCAAAACCTAATTAAGTTAGATATTTCAAAGTATTTAATTATTAATTATCACCATCAAGATAGCGATCATTTGAGATTTAAACATTCCATAATGGATTAAGTCTTAAGTTTGAATATCGTAACAAGTTTGAATGTCGTAAGCTTCAACCTTATAATGGGTTGTTAACCAGTAAAAAAAAACCATATTTATGATGACATTTAGATATATGTTGAGAAGAACTAATTTTACATAAAAAGATCATACATTTAATAAAGACAAAACTGCAAAATTGGTCCCTGTAGTATTCAAAAAACTTTAGATATGGTTTAAAAAGTTTCCAACTTGTATGGATGGTCCAAAATCAAGGTTTTTCTTTAGTTTTGGTCCTGAAAATATTGAAATGTCCATTTTACTCTTATTATTTCTTTTTTCCATTTTTTATTGAGTTTAGTATTTAAAAAATTATAAAAAAAATAAAAAATAAAAAAAATATCACCCTACCCCTCTCCACGACTCCACCCACCGTACCCCTTCTCCTCTCTCTCTCTCTCTCTCTCTCTCTCTCTCTCTCTCTCTTCTTCTTCTTCTTCTTCTTCTTCTTCTTCTTCTTCTTCTTCTTCACCTGCAAATTAAAAAAAAAGAGCAACCCATAACCCCATCGTTCTTCCATTTGACTTTTTCTTTGTCCCTCTCTTTCTCTCTCTCATACAAAACCTGCAACTCAAGAAAAATTTCAGAAAAAAAAATTTGTATTTGTGTGCGCTTCGATAGAAACCAAGATCTCCGACGAACACCAGAACTCCGATGAGCACCAAAACTCCAAGATCGCCCCTGCAATATTCCCCTTTCCCTTTCACATGCAAAATCTTACTTTAACCTGCATCATCTTCCATTTCTCTATCAACATCTTCCTGATTCAAAACTCATATACACTAATGAACACACATGCATAGATATACACACACACAAACACTCTACAATCAATTTGCAGGTTTGAATCTTAACTTTACAAGCCCTAGATTTGCAATATCTATGGCAGTCAACCCTAGAATTTACAAGACCCGTGTTGAATCGATTCATCTGGTTCAGTTGGACCTTGAACCTGTGATTGAAGGGTAAGACTTCCATGTCTCTCCTATCTTCTTCTTGACCAAGAAACCCATATGGATTAATCGGATGAAAAGATTCAGAATCTGGTCCATCCATAATGCATTCATAGATTGAATCGATTTGAACATGAGATGGATATGTTTATCTGGGTTCTGAATCGCCGCCAGATTCAAATCGGAAAGATGGAATAACGCCAACACCCACAGTCGTGGATTGAATCGATTCTGGTGAGTTATGGCATTCGAGGGCTAATCGGGACAAATTGCGAACCAAATGGGGTTGCGGCGGTGGCCGACGATGGTGACGATGACTACGGGTTTAGAGGATCATGGTGGTGTCATTGGGTTTAGGGAAGAGTATACGAAAGGAGAGGAAGAGTTTGAGTCATGATCTTCTTGGTAATCGAAGAGAGAGAGAGAGAGAGAGAGAGAGAGAGAGAGAGAGAGAGAGAGAGAGAGAGAGAGTGTGTGTGTGTGTGTGTGTGTGTGAAGTGGGTCCATTCTTTTCTTTTCTATTTTTAATTGATAAAAGATTAAAATAAAAATACAAAAAGGAAATTAGAAGGGTAAAATCGTCCTTTCAGGTTCTCCGAGGACCAAAAACACAGAAATTTCTTAATTTTAGGACTAAAACCACGGAAAATATTCGATTTTGGACCTTCCATGCAAGTAGGAAACTTTTTGGACCCTATCTACAAATTTTATTAACTTATGACTTAAACTCTTATCCTTTAAATCTACATTTGATGGAATTTTGTTTTCAAAGATAAAAGGATTAAAGGATAAGAGTTTAAGTCATAAGTTAATAAAATAATTAACCAATCATTTAAAATAAAAGACTTTAGCAAGAAAAAGTGTAAAAGTAATGAAAATTGATTTATTATTTTTGAAGTGGTGTCAAAATTGTAATTAGTTCCAAAAAAAGAAGTCAATAGTCATAAAAGGTGACGGTAACACTGTCCCGAGCCTTTAATTTTGTGAGCTGTGTTTGCGTTTGTGTTTGGGGGGTTTGACCAGAACTAGAATTAGGCAATTAGGAAGGGGAAGATGGCGTCTTTGGTCTATCGCATTCGTATGGTGGGACACTTGCTACTTCCTCGTTTGTAGCGTCATCGATTGATTCACAGACACTTCTCATTCCAAGGGGCACCGCAACCGAACAATACCATCATAGCAACCTTAACTGTTCCGATCATCGGCGCAGTCACTCCCAGTCAAATCAATCTCTCAACTCTTATCCAATTTCTGCTTTCACTTGTATATGCTTCGCTTGCTACTCTATATTTGTTTCTTGCCCTTTTTTTCTTGTGTAAATTTGACATTTGTTGTTGAATTCTCAATTCTTCGTCGCATTAGTATGCTTCTTGTCTCTATTTTCGTATGCCTAAAGTATTTGGCTTTGTGATTGCAGTTTGTCATGGAGAAATGAACTCGGGTTGCACTGCGTCTGCGTGTAATTAATTGTTTGGGGGAACTTGTTCAAACATTATCGAGGTATTCGAGTTGTTGCTGGCGTTTCTGTATGAACAATTGGCGAGTTGAAGTCAACTAGTTGAAGGTCTTGATTGATCCAGAATATGGGTGGAATATGCTCGAGGAGATCCACCCAAGACAACATAGAAAACGGAAGCTTTCCTCATGTTAATGGACTTAATTATGGTTCTGGAATGGTTTATCAATCTCAAGGACCGCAACAAGCAAATGAGGAATCTATCCCTTCCGGGGAAACCATGGATAACAAGAGGACTCTAAGAGAACCATTTTCTTTTCCAGAAATGAATGCTGCTCCATATGCAATGTCCGATGCTGATGATGGGATTCCTCGTCTTTCTAGGGCTCTATCACATAAATCCAGATCAACAAAGTCAAACACGACTGCAGCTACAAAGGTATATCTTGTTGAGGTGTTCTCTAGTAATGTGAATTTCTGAACATTTGGGATCATACATTTTTCAAACATAACACTTTAAGTTGTATAAATTGCCAAGTAACTTTTTGATAACTGTACATGCTCTTCGGGCATAAAACATTACTTTGGATCATTACCAGTCCAGAAGAGATTGCCTCATGGAAAACCCTAAGGAGGTCTTAATTATAGGATTTCTACTATTGCTATATGTAAAGATTTATCGCACAAAAAACATCAAATGAGTATATCATGTGAAAATGAATCAATGAAAGAACCCTAAACAAAAAACCCTATCATTAGATAGCACGTTTGTCTAAAGAAAGGAAACCTGAATGTCTTTTCGGAGATAGTCATATCTTTTAGCATATGCTTCCAACTGTTACCTAGTTTGTCATGCAACGTTCTTCAAATTTCATTTCAATGAGGTAATGCAACTTTTCGTGATTTGGCACGTGAAAGAATGAGCGTAAATGGGGTATATGTGTGTGTGTGTGTGTGTGAGAGAGAGAGAGAGAGAGAGAGAGAGAGCAATAAATACAACTATATAAGGAATGCGAGATAGTATGCTACATCGATCCGGATCATCTAATTCCCGTTTTACAACCTTATATGTGATAAGCATCTATACCCTTGAAATATCATTTAAATACTACACGGCACCTTATAATACAAAAAAGGTAAAATTTACTTCATTTCGGAATAGATAAATGTACAACTTTTGATAGTTATCATATTGCAAGTTAGGCAAGGAAAGCTTAGATATTGAGTTTATTAATACAAAATCATTTCTAATCTTTATATGTCGCAATACACTAATCTATCAATAATACCTTAGATTGTTGGCAATGAGATACTTAATGAAACTATTACTATATTGTGTGTTCTTAATTATCTATAGGCATTATGATTCTCTTGCTTTTCATGTATATTTGAGATGTATTGGTAGTAGCTAAGTTTTAAATTGGTGAATGCAGGTTTCAGAAGTGAGTTCACTTTTGGGTAAAGCTGGGACTGCTGGGCTTGGAAAGGCTGTAGAAGTGCTGGATACACTTGGTAGCAGTATGACAAGTTTACATGTCAGCAGTGGTTTTGTGTCGGGGGCTGTAACAAAGGGAAATAAAATAACAATATTGTCATTTGAGGTTGCCAATACAATTGTTAAAGGTGCCAATCTTATGCAATCTCTTTCAAAGGACAACATTAAACATTTAAAGGAGGTAGTATTGCCTTCAGAAGGCGTGCAACGTTTAATATCAAAAGACATGGATGAACTCCTCATGATTGCAGCAGCTGATAAGAGGTGCCTACAATGAAAAGATTGCTACTTTTTATGTTTATAACTTTATATACTTAAATGTGTGTTTTTTTTTTTAATGATCTTGCTATTGGTGTTAATAGGGAAGAACTAAAAATCTTTTCTGGAGAAGTGGTTCGTTTTGGAAACCGATGCAAAGATCCTCAATGGCACAATTTGGACCGATATTTTGAAAAGTAATTGCTTGGAGTTAAATCTTCTGTGTCAAATTGGATCCGGATGTTGTTGCTGATGGATTTTATTTTTTACTTTTTTTAGATTGGGATCGGAACTTATTCCCCAGAAGCAATTAAAAGAAGAAGCAGAAACCATAATGGAGCATTTGAAGAATTTGGTCCAGTATACTGCTGTGAGTTTTCACAATGTTTCTGCCATAATTTATTTGCAAACCTAAAAATCAAGAAAAAGGAACTTTACGAATGACAAACTGATTAGGGATCATGAACACGTATGAATGATCTTGACATGTCCATGCTACATGCAAGCTGAATCAACAAATAAGAAATAAATGAACACGTGCGTATAGGATAGGATGCGAAGGCAGCATCAGTAGGCTATATATAGCAAGGATAATGTCAGTCTATTTTGCTATTATGCTATACATTATGAAATTCTACACTTTGATAAAGATGAATAATACCTTAATTTGAAGATATGATGACGTTAAAGCTTTTTCAAGAAACATAAATAAGATGAATGAGACGTGTGTATAGGTTGGCAACATACCATAAGGCCTATATATAATGCATTATGGAAACCACGTGGAAATGGTAGTTTGAAGGGTATATTTATTTCATTCATTCTGTGAATATTTATAATCTTCTAATTCAAGAAACAAATAAAGTGCTTGTGAGCGTTTGTATGGTCCATTCCCATAGAATTCATAAATGCAATGGACCATGCATCTTTAACATGATTGGCATGTGCTTTTTATCAAATTTATGCAGTTATTATTTATGATGTCATAGTCACTTCGCAATCCATGTGGCAATCATATTTTTGTCGTAAGCAACAAGAATTGTTATTCTATTGATCCGAAAATTGTACAAGTGGGAATTGTTAAAACAGATGTGATGATGTTGAGCTATGATTTTATTTTATTTTGTTGTTGAAAATGAGTGTAAGTTGTTTTGTGTGCTGCAGGAGTTGTACCATGAGTTACATGCCTTGGACAGGTTTGAACAAGATTTCCGTCGTAAGCAACAAGAAGAGGAGAATCCCAGTGCTCCTCCAAGAGGTGCTAACTCTCACCTTTTTTTACCAATCTTGTAGATTTTTTAAATGCAAAATACCAGTTTGTTATTATTATTGCTATCTAGTTATCTATCATCATCATCATTATCATTTGTTGCTGTTATTATTATGGGACGCATTATTGTTTTCGTATTTCAAATGCAGTTAGCTGTTTTGGGTCATTGACTTTTTCTTAATTGTTCATGCATAAAAACGTACAGGGGACAGCCTTGCTATTTTAAGGGCAGAATTAAAGAGTCAGAAGAAGCACGTGAGAAGTTTGCAAAAGAAGTCACTTTGGTCCAAAATTTTGGAAGAGGTAACAAACAAACTACAACTATAACTATTTCCGACAGGCGTACCATTTATGGTAGGCTTTTATTACTTTTTTTAGACAATTTTAAGGTATAAGTGACGTTTTGATGTAAATAAGTTGCAAGAAGCGAATATTTGTGTTTCTTTGCTAATAATTATATTGTTGTTTAAGGTGATGGAGCAACTTGTAGACATTGTCCATTTCTTACACATGGAGATTCATACTGCTTTTGGAACTGCTGGTATGTTTCTTAGAGGACTTAAGTCGATGAAATTGTGTTAGAAGTTGACTTTGACTCTTTATATATACCATTATGAAATCCCCATAAGTGTCAAGTATATTATGATAATGAAAATGGTTGCAGATACACAAAAACCGTTAAAAAGCAACCGACAGAAATTGGGAGCAGCTGGTCTTGCACTGCATTATGCTAATATCATCACTCAGATCGATACACTTGTGAGTTTGTCTGATGTTATTAATAAATGTTGATTGTTGTTGTGTGTGTGTGTGTGTATGAGTGGGAGTGGTTTTGCTAAATGCTAGTGTGTGTGTGTGTGTATATATATATACATATGACAAATATATATATATATATATATATATATATATATATATATATATATATATAATAATATAATATGACAGGTTACTCGGTCAAGTTCTGTGCCTCCAAGTACGAGGGATGCTTTATACCAAGGACTTCCACCTACTATTAAGTCTGCAATCCGCTCCAAGATACATTCTTTTCACCCAAAGGAAGAGGTACCTTACCTGTTTTTAACTTGTTTTCAGATCTCTGTGGTTTAACTTTAACTAACCTCATTTTATAAATGTAATAATAGTAATAAAGTGTTAAGTGAGTGTTTTGTTTTGTGATTTTGGCAGCTTACGATTCCCGAAATTAAAGCAGAGATGGAGAAAACTCTGCAATGGATTGTTCCATTTGCAACAAACACAACCAAGTAATATTCTCTGACTACTAACCTACTGTTTATGTTCCTTTATCGATAGCATTATTCAGTTGAGGATATATTGGGAGTTGTACCAAAAAAAATGGCCAATTTGTGTATCATAGCATCCTACTTCCATTTCTTTCTCTTACAGCATTGTGCTTTAAAAAATATGCTAGTTCAGTCTTTTACTTGTCAAGCTTTTCAAAATTATATTTATACTTATAGCAAGATGATGATTGTTTTCAAAAAGTTTAGCCTATCCCTATAATAGTTAACACCCTTGTAACTTTATGAACTGGAAATGTTGTATGAATACAGAGCGCATCATGGGTTCGGTTGGGTTGGAGAATGGGCAAATACCGGGTAAGTTGTATTTTTGTATTTCTGTTGAAATAATTTAAAGGATTTGTTAAATGTATATTAATTTGGTGATGTGTAGATCGGAAGTGAACAGAAAACCATCATACCCAACTGACTCATTACGAATCGAGACACTCCACCATGCAGACAAACAAAAAACAGAAGAATGTATTCTGGAATTGGTGGTTTGGCTTCACCATCTTGTGTGCCAATCAAAAGCCATAAATGGGCCAAATACAATGAGATCACCCGTTAAATCCCCAATCCGTTCCCCAAATCAAAAGGGAACCCAACTCTCCACAACCCAAACCCAACCCACCTCCTCCTCGTTTCCTCCGGCGTTGACCAGCGAAGACCGGGAAATGCTCCGGGATGTAAGCAAACGGAAACTCACTCCCGGAATCAGCAAAAGTCAAGAGTTTGACATCAGAAGCAGCAGCAATAGGCTCCTCAGTAAGCATCATCGATTGACTAAAAGCAGTAGTCATTCCCCGACTCGGGAAGAAGTTAAGCGAGACCCGTTTCCCATTAAGAGACCATCTTCCGTTCCAGTCATCAACTTCCATCTTGATAGGATTAAGGCCATGGATGTTATCGATGACATTCCAACCGTCTGAATGCTGCTCTATGGAATCCAGTTCATGTTGCTTTCTTGGATAGATTTTCTTTTTCTTTTTGTTGTTTAGAGGTTGGTTTTGCAAATGAGGAGGGTAATTTAGTTGTTTTCACCAAATTGTTGTATGTACAGAAGAAATCATCTTTACTTTACTTTACTTTACTTTCTGTTTCATAATCTATCTCGCCAACTTAACTTAAGTTTTATGTTTCTTTCCTTTCCTTTTCTTGTTTCTTGGTCATTTTCATTTCATGTATAAAAAACCCCTAGCCAGGTATTTACTATTATACTGGTAAATTTGTTTAATCACAAAAATTTGATAGCAACGTTTTTTTACCTATCCAGAAAATTATTCTATGATTTAACCACACACAAAAAAAAAAAAAAATCGACTTTTTCTTTAAAACCACCTTAACCATGTAATTGGGGGGTTTACAAATTATTGATGATACGACAAATTATTTTGTTAGGTTTAAAGATTCGGTTTAATATTAGTGGAGTTAAAAACACTTGTGTACAAATAACTTCCATTTCTAATTGTATTTGTAGCTACAAATAAAAACCAAAATACAACTTCACTCACACCTTCCATTTCAATATAACTACAACATCGAAAACACAACACTCTCACCATTTTCACCAATGAGCCCATAATTTTTTTCAAAAGAATGTAAAAAAAAAAATCTGTACAAGAAACATCTCTCTTTCGTCTCATCAAATTCTTTGACAGCTGTGTCTTCTGTTCTTCAATGACTCAGGATTGATTGCTTGCTTCTTCATGACTCATGAGTGAAGGAGTTAAAAACCAAAAATGAAAAATTAGTTTTGCATTTTTATTTAGTGAAGAGGTAATTAATTACTCATCTCCATCCTCCACTGCTTTTCTCCATAACCGGTATCTTATTCCTAGCTTATCATAAGATACAGGCATGTTCCACACATTTTCACCACTTATCATTCTATCTTGTTGCCCGAGTACAAGTCGTAGATCCTCATTTAGTACCTGAAATCAAAATTCATCCTTATGACTTCTATTAACACTTATCCTACTTTAAAACAGTCAGTTTGTTCCCAATATGATTAAGAAGCATGAAGCATGCAAATATAATGTTACCTTATCTGCAAAATGCCTCCAGAGTATGTGCATGAAAGGGACGTATTGCAAGATGGGAGCAAAATCGAGTGACATTCTGTATAACAGCCTTGTCTTCTTTCTTGATGATGGTAGGCATACATGTAGCTGATGAAGATGTGTTGAACACTGCTTTGTACTTTGCCCCTCCAATTTTCCAGGTTTTGAAATCCCAATGGTTGATAATACCATACACGGGGGACGAAATTCCATATCTATTGGATACGGGTCCCAATATCCTTCCATCGCTGATGTAGGCGTCAAAAATTTAACCAAACTGCAATAAATAAAAAATTACTAAAAATCAATCATCCAAAACTCTGCAAAAGGTTATAGAAAATGTTAAAACCATTAATTAGGATGGGGGTATACCTTGGAACACTCCACCCTTTTGCGAATGTGGAAGTGTGGGTGAAGGGTGCATGTGCAAGATCCAAAAGGTTGTCTAAAAGTAGTCCGTGTTCCACTGGTAGTTCCATCACAATCTGTTTGTTGTTGTATATGAATTTGTTAAATAATATATTCATTTTTAATAAAATAAAAACAACCTACCAATTGGTTTTTCAACTTTAAGTAAAATATAAAATACCTCAGCATGTATTTGGAAACCTTGAGGTGGTAGTAGTGAAGGAACTGTGGGTTCAGAAGGTTCATCACCTGGCCAGATCCATATCATTCCCTCCTTCTCAAAACATTCAAGTGATTTTATCTTCACATTAACAAATTTTGTTGAAGGCATTTTTTCACACTTCCCATCTGCAGAGTACTCCCATCCTGGAGAGTGAAACCAAATATTATTAAAATAACCATTAAAATATATACAATTTTATAATCATTACAAATCTAGTTTTATCATTTGTAAAAGTCTATTTTTTCTTCTAAGTGTTACCATGGTAGGGACATTGGACACGACCGTCATTTACAGTGCCCAAATCAAGAGGACATGCTCTATGTGCACACGTGTTCTTTATACATCCTGGTTTCCCATCCTTCCCACGAAATAATACCCAAGGTTCTTCAAAGCAGTCAATTGGCATCTGCATTGTCAATCAAAAGATGAATTCTTTTTTTTTTTTTTATGAGAACTTATATCATGTGGAAAAACTGCAAAACGGAAATGAAAAATGGCTTACCAGAGTGTCCTCCTTGAGGTCCTTAGAGAAAGCAACAGGGTACCAGAAGTTCTTTAAATTAGGATGATAAGGTGGCACTGGACCAGACACATTTAGACCTTTTCGTTTTGTTGTTTTCCTTTCAATAGTTTCTGGAGGTGGTTTTGAAGTACTAGGAGATGAATTTATGCTCTCTGTTGTTGTTATGCTGTTTCTGTCTTGTAAAAGTCTATCATTCACCAAAGTTTCCATGTATGCTAGCTTATCTAAAGTCGCACTAACCCTTTCTTCCGATATATGCATCTGCCATTTCAAGTAGAATTAATACCTTAACATCATATACGTGTCTATTATCAATCAATCCTTCACTAAAATCATGCCAATTCTTTACCTGTTTATGTGCTTCTGCTAGCTCTTCTTGTAACTCTGCTAGATCCTTCTTCATGGTTCCAATGGATTTGTAGTCACGGGCTAAAGGGTTTAAAACATCAACAACCTGGATTCATGTCTAACACTTGAGATCCCAGAAGCCTAATTCATGTATGGAAGTTGAAATTTTTGTTACCTTTTCATGTAGGAGCATGATTGTAAGAAGATCTTGTCTTGCTCGCCAATCACAATATTGTATATCGTATCTAGCCACTTCAAATGCTTGATTTACATCCAAGAACTTTCCTTTACACTGTGGAAATTTAGACCTGGGATCTTCCACATCAAATAAAGTGTTCCATGAGGTTTTCTTGTCCCCCAATCCGCCTCCCTCCCCACTTGTTGCTATGGCAAACACCACAAACCCTCCTCTAACACCCTATAGTCCAACACATCCAGTACAAACACAGTAACACAGATCAGTGTTAAGGGACAACTACTCTTAAGCACAAACAATGACTCATGAAGCTAACAAATACTATTATCAATACATCTTATGCAGCATAATGGTATGAACATGAACTATTTAGACTTTAATGTCATTACTGCACCTGCAGACCATCTTATTATTTTGCACACATAAAACACCATTCATCTATCCATTCCAAGAAAGGTATACTTTGACTTATGAGGTATGATATCACATATCCTAGTTCTCCACTTTACAAAAGGAAAGGAAAAAAAAAGGTATTGGATTATTGCAACAAAATTCATGTTCAAGGACTTTAGCACTAAACTGTATGATAGGTAACTAAAGTTAACTGTATGATGTCCAAATAGAACTTCCCCGTGTCCTTCTCTACAACAATTCGGACTTGCTACCCCCTATTCAGTTACTAGTTTCTCACACATCCTCTAAAATTATGGTTCTGTCCTTATCTATCCTTCTCGGCAAAATACGAAGACAGACATGTAGAAGTTTATGTGATTGGAGGTTTAACGAGTCATGATTAGGATTCAGGCTGCAGTTTCATCGACTAAACTTAGAATTAAAAGAAAAAACACAAACGATTCTGTATCAAAATCATACATGTGTCCAGTATAAAGCATAACAGATAGGGTACCTTTTTGGTGCTCAATTTAGATGATCGAGATAGAGATATTGGAAGAGATAGAGCTGCAGCAGTAGCAATGGCGGTCATGGCGATTGGAAAATGACAAAAGTTTATGGAGAAGAGAGAGAAAATTGGTGAGATTTGTAGCGAAGAAGATTATTTGAGGGAATTTGTAGATATGTGGTTTGTGTGGTGCGCGATCTCGGCTGGCCTGCCGTGCGCTGACAAGTGGAAATGGTTGAAGAGCGTCTGATTCTCTCATGGCCACTGCTTGGTATTTGCCTTCGAGAAATTGCGGGTCCCCTATATCTTGCCACCTCGGCTTTCCTGATATCTTCCTTATCGTTTTTTTCTCTAATTTTTACAGTTTTGGTCCCTGTGGCAAATTCCTAGTTTTTGAATCTCAACACCAGCGCTCCTCATGGTTCACAAGCTCATCAATGTTGATCCTCTAGACTAATGCAGTTATATTTTTCTATTAAGTTCAATAGAAAAGACTATTTTTCCATTGGACCAAAGTTGTTAAAAGCTATAAACTAAAGGGACCATTTCTAAAAAAAGTGAGGCCACAATTTTCACCCTCACCCATCTCTTTGTCTAACCTGTTACTAGGTAGAGCTCCGTCCACCGCCCTTCATGCACGCCACCACAGGGCTCAATTTTTTTCATTATATATTTTTATTTAAAAATAAAAAATTATAATAAAGATAAGAGCCATTTTTTCTTGTTCGTCCTGAGCCTTTAAAAATATTTATTTTTTCAGGACCGGCCATGCTCTACAGATCTGGTCCTTATCCTCACTATATTTTCTCCTTTGCCTATATCACTACCCTCACTAGATCTGCTCCTCCGCCTTTATGGTAGAGCATTCGACATATTTTGCCCTTCTCTTCTCCGAGTATATATCGATTTGTTTTAATCATGTTAAGTTATGGTTTTGATTTGAATTTAGCATTTTTATTTTGGTTTAAGCTTTTTAGAACCAGAAATAGAATAATGTATTTTGATTTTTTAATTTTCTTTAAAATTATTTTTAAATCTCTTCAAAACTAGGGATGGTGGTGGATGGTAGGATTGGCCGGAGATTGACGGTGGGTGTGGGGTTGGTCAGATATGGTGGTGGTGTAAAGGGAAAAGGGAAAGTGATCGTGTAACTAGTGGTATATGATGATGATGGTGGTATACAAAGGAACAGTGTAGGCCATTATTTATTTAATAATAATAATTCTGAAAAACAAAAAATAAGCATTTTAGTCCTCTCATACGTACTAATAGAGGGAGGGACTATTGTTGATGCATCTGTGTTATATTTCAAAATTTGGACCAAACTTGAGCTGTATATCAAGGGACCAAAACTGTAATTTACTATAAAATAAACGTATTTGAAAGTTGGTATTTCATGTCCAGCTAATTCTTATAGTTTTACCAATTTGACCAATTACACTCTTAATTAAGTAAATGGATCAAAATTACACTTCAAAGTATCATATGATCCATTAATAATCTTTAAATTATCTGACAAAGCAATGTTGATACATGTTATTAGGTTTGAGCATAATTGATTACAAACTCTACCATTACTACTTACATATATCTTCTAATAATACATACATACACAAAGTCGCAAACTTCATTCCAAAACATCACAACATGCAAAATGAAAAACGTAACGATTTCACATAGTGACCGATTGCAACAATGACGATGATGCCCTCTCAATATTCATCCCCGAAGCAAACGACGACGCCTTTGGAGTCTGAAGAGAAGAAGACGATGAGGGTGGCTGCACCGATGGTGCTAAGGTCGAGACACTGCTACTCATATACGTGCTAGTCCCAGCAACCGACCCGTCTATGGCTGACCCAACCTTCGGGGCAGGTGGTTTCTCAATCTCGGTCACCCCTTCCAACATCTGAACCACTTTCCCCATCATCGGTCTTTGTGATGGTTGTTCTTGAATACACCAAAAACTCACTTCAATCACCCGCCGAATTTGATCCATATCGAATTCATGGGTCAAAATCTTCGGGTCAATAACCGAATCCATGTTCCCCTTTTCAAACTCCTCGTAAGCCCAAACCGAAAACTTTTTCCGGTTGGTCCGATCCGAAACCTCAAAATTCCGTCTCCCGGACACAATCTCCAACAAAACCATCCCGTAACTGTAAACATCCGATTTCGATGTAATCGGGAGGTTGGCGAGCCATTCGGGAGCCAAATACCCGCGGGTCCCACGCACACTTGTCAATGTCCGATACCGATGGTCTTTCGGGTTCACGAGTTTCGCGAGCCCAAAATCGGAAACTTTCGAGTTATAACTCTCATCTAAAAGAATGTTTTCGGGTTTTATATCACAATGAATAATACAATCCCGACATTCCTCGTGTAAATACGTTATCCCACGGGCCGTCCCAAGCGCGATATTGTATCGGGATTCCCAATTCAATTGTTGTTCCGGGACAAAAAGGAAGTTATCGAGGGACCCGTTTTTCATAAACTCGTAGACTAAAAGACGATGACGCCCCTCGGAGCAAAACCCAATTAGTCTCACGAGGTTTAAATGATGGGTGCTACTAATTGTTGCGACCTCCATACGGAATTGTTTCTCGCCTTGTTCGATTCCTTCAAGTTGTTTGACTGCAACCACGGTTCGGTTCGCGAGGACCCCACGGTAAACCGCACCGAACCCGCCCGACCCGAGCTTCTCCTTGAACCCTTTTGTGGCCCGTTGGAGGTCTTTGTATGAGAACTGGACCGGTGCACCGGATGCATACTCCAGAAGTGCATATTGGGCTGATAACACCCCGAGTTTTGGGCTGTTTTTACAACACCAGAACCATAAACCGAGTTCCGCGAGGATTAATCCTAATAAAGTGCCGATAACCACCACAATTACTATCCATGGACGGAGCTTCCATCGTTTTCCGTTCTCGGAAGTGGGAGATGGGTTTGGTGTTACGGGTCCACAGACTTTGAGATAGGAGGTGCTTGGTAGCGCCGGCGACTGATACGCACTCACAAAGCTTGGGACTTTTAAGTAACACAACCCTGTGCCATCTGACAAGGAGGTGGATGCGATGCAGGAACCACTAACGAGACAATTTAATCTGCAAGCGGAAATCCCGATAAAGAATACCTGAGATGATAACTCCGGTGGGTATGTCAAGAACTTGGCGTTATCGAGCTCTAACATTGTTGCGCTACCTGGGCAGTTTGCGATTTCGACCTTCCTCCGGCACCCTTTCCGACCGTCGGTGGGATCAATCGGGTCGAAATTCTGTGATGGACAGCCGCATACAGGATTTGAACCGTTGTAACTACAAATACCCAGATTGCCACAGTACCCGAATACCTGACATTGATCGCTTACAGCAGCCCATCTCATGAATTGATTGCCGGCATTACCCAATGAGGAGCTGTAAATTCTCAGATTACCATCGTTGTCTAATTTGGTGAACCTGAATATATCAGGGCCTTCAGCATAATCGCTACTGTAAGCCATGATTACGGAAGTGGAAAGCATCGGATCTGAAAGAGATAGAATCCCGATTGGTTGGAGCCCTAAACTTGGTGAAGTTAGGTTAGTGTTGATGGAGGAATTCAACCCTAAAGTCCAGTAGACAATGGAATCGTTCCATCTAAGAGTTAAATTCCCAGAATTAACCAATCGAAAGGAGTAAAGCCCAGAACGCAAAACATTATTCACTGTGAAATTCTGGCCGGGAAGTATGGTGTCTGAGGGATTATCGAATGTACTCCATACAGAAACGGATCCGTTGCGGAGGACGAAATTACCTGAATCATCAAGTGCAGCTACTGTGACGCCACGACCGGCTGTATTGGACTGCCAGACGACGGAGCCGGATGAGCCGTTGACGAGACGGAGATTACCGTCGGGGAGGAAGGTGAGGGAGGCGGTGGAGTCGGCTACGCCGGCATCTCCTCCGGCTTTCCAGACTGATATGTTGTTGTAGGTGATGGCAGCAAAGTGTGCGTCGGGGGTTTCGGAGATGAAGCCAAGAGAGAAGGTCTGATTGGGTGAGTTCCATTTTTCGTTTGGGTTTGCAGCGGAGAGAGATTGACCTGGTCGAATATCGGCGGCGGCGGCGAAAGAAAACAGGATTGTCGATAGAAGTAGTTGTAGAAATAGGTTGAAGGAGATCATTCTCGGATGCTCTGGTGGTGTCTGTTGAGCATCCCAGATGAATTTGTGAAAAAATGGAGGTGGGTGGGGAGTTGAAGGGGGAGAAAGAGACACGGCGAAATGTTGATGCCAGTGGGAACGAAGACTTTGACTTGCCCCTGGTATGCAGTCATCGGAAGGCTTATTCCATGTTTCATCCCTCCTCCCAAACCACACGATTGTTGAAACAACAATATTATGGACTATTAATTACCATTAATGTCAAACGCTAATATCACCAAACAACAGCTAATGTTGTACAAAGTTTTGTAGTTTGCTCACTCTATTCTCTATACATGTCCGGTAATCGAATCAAATGATCATAATAGTATAAATATAGTTAAAGACATTTTCCAAACAAATTTTATCTATACATCCGACTTATTGGTAATTTTGCTTATTACACATTTAAAAACAAAAAAAATACATATAAATTACTATTAAGCCAATTTAACAAACAAAAAAAACATTTTGTTGGTATATTTTATGGTTTAGCAGTTAATATTTTGTTTTTGGGTTAATGACCTATAAGGCTATTAGGTATGGGCAACGTTCATGGGGGCGTTCTCGCACGTTATAACGGCACAAACACCGCCCCATTTCCCGTTTTTGTGCGTTATAAGTCTGTCCGTTGCTTCCCGTTACCACCACAACATCCTATAACGTCCGTTTTCTTCTTTTTTCTTCTAAAAACATCGGTGATCGACGTTGCCTACACCGACCAGTTTAAAAGTAATAAACTTTATGTATATACATTTAATCATTTATGTTATTTTTATACATATGATCAAGCCTAGCCCTTAGCACATACCGAGTGTGCGACCGTACAGGACCCACGTTGTTTAAGGTCACGATTATTTTACCTATATTGTATATACTATATATAATAGATTTGAGAACAAGAACAATAAAACGATTATATCGGAGATGGCTAGAGTGTTTGATATTCAAGTTTGATGATGCAAGTTTGAAATTAGACGCTAGCACTCTATTTTTATTACGTTTCTTATCCAACTCCTTATCCCTCAGAACATAAAAACCACTACATTAAATTAATACATGCTACGTCATTAAATAATACCCTAGTAGTCTATTAGGTAGCGTTTGACATGTAGAACAGAACTTGACAGAAGATAACAAATTCATTTCATAAGGCGTTTGACAAAAGTAGGACATGGACTAAGTAGAACAAAAACTAAATTCAACGAGACTAATTTTATAAACTGTAACGTCCCAAAAATTATAAGGTAAAAATTTCATTTTTAAATCAACCATAAACACCATTTATCCCTTTCAATCATTCAAAAGTATATCGGAGTAAAATAGTTATCAGAGTACAATTCCCAAAATCATAAAGTGCGGAAACACAGGTGGATGTGCTGCGATCAAGTCAGGTCCTTCCTTTTCGAACCGAAAGTACCTGAAACCATAACCATAAACCGTAAGCACAAAACTTAGTGAGTTCCCCAAAATACCATATACACAAAACATACATGTGTCATGGGCTACCCCCATGGTCTTTCCTTGCAATGCCGATGGGCCAAATGTCGGTCTTACATACGAGTGTCAGGGGCCAGATCTTGATCTTTCATTAAATTGTCAAGGGTCAGATTCTGGTCTTTCATACAATTGTTAGGGGCCAGATCCTGGTCTTTCATAACAATTGTCAGGGGCCAGATCCTGGTCTTTCATACAATTGTCAGGGGTCATATCCTGGTCTTTCATACAAGCATCACAGAGACAACTAGCATTCCACATAACAAGTAATGGGTTGAGATTGGTGTCTTAGGCCCATGCATATAGTGAGAAAACTTACCTCAAATTGTTTAAACAACCCGATAAATGCTCCGCACTAAATATCATCAAATAATACACTAATTAATAATTAGGTCATAAACTATAACCGGGGCCCCAACTCATCATCCTCTACCTCTAGGTTAAAAGACTATTTTACCTTTTCCATACTGGGCCCAACTAGCTTGGCCCAACCCAATGGCACCAAAAAGCTCAATATGGCCCAAACTCCTAAATGATACCCAAAGCCCATTATAGACCCAAATCCAGGAAGGCCCTAAGCCTAACAATGGCCCAAATTCAGAAATACTAGTGGCCTAGCAAGGCCCAAAATCCTAATAGTCCAAATATGGGCCAAAACACAAAAGTCAACTAAAGTCTACAACAGTTGAGTACGCCCAACGTACTCAGACTTACGCCCTGCATACACCACCTTGGGCTAGTACGCGTTGCGTACGAGCTGGGTACACCCAACGTACTCCACAACAAGCCCAACTTTCCATTAAGGGCTTAATTGGTTAAGCCACTAAGTCCACTTCTCTGATCTGAACCTAAATTATGTCTTAACTCGTAAATTTGGCAACTTTACTCCTTTGCATGTCTTAATGGGACCCAATACTCAATAAAAACTCATAATAAGAACCCTAACTCATGCATGGTCCAATATAATACATCAAGATTGCATTTTTATGCACACGAAGCCTCAAAAGTGCTAAGGTCTACCATCCCTAGCTTATGGAGTAGCTCATACTCTCAAGCATGACTTAAGGGAACATAAAAAGCATAAAAACAAGCCCTAACTAGATCTATCAAAATGAACCATCAAGTTAAGAGCTTTACACCTCCAAAAGCTTTCCAAGTTGGTGATGATTCTAGATCCACAAGCTTTAGCCACACCAATGCGACTTCCAAGAGTTCTTCCTCCTTCAAGATCACCAAAAAACCTTTAAAGTTCACTTCCAAGCTCAAAACACAAATGGCAATTAGGGTTTCGTTCTTAGGGTTTGGAGAGGTGGAGGCTGAAGATAAGAATGGTTCTCAAGAAGTTAAGGTTTTTAAATAGGGTCCAAGACCCAAAACTAGGGTTTTGGTCTATTTAGTGTACGCCCATCGTACAAATTGTACACCCAACGTGTGTGGGTAGTCTATCGCGATCATCTGAGCCTCGTACGCTCAGCGCACTCCTTGTACGCCCAGCGTACTCGGTGTCACACCCCGGCCGTCGGCAGAAACACCGGGTGGTGTAACATCATTTCTCGTATCATAGTTATTAACTTCCTGAAAACACATGCAATTTAAAATACGTCAACATAAAGTTGGTGAGTTCACAGGTTTTGACTCTAAGTAGAAATAATACTTTTTCTCAATTCAAAAGTATAGTTTTGAAAGTATCGTTTTGACTCTCCAACATTTAGTATCTATATATCCTAGGTATAATGGTTTACTTACCAAATAAGTAGTATACCTATAAGTCTCATACAAATGTTTGTAATCCCATACAAACTAAGGTTGCTATGTATAAATCTTATTTCAATTCTATACGAGTAAAACCGCTACGTATAAATATATTTTAATTCTATACGAGTAAGTAGAATAGGTATAGTGGTCTACTTAATATACAAGTAATATACCTACTAGATTCTTATACTTAGAGCATCAGGCCTCGCCTGGCATCGAGCCCTGCTCGGGTATACAGATATGTCTCTCTTAGGCCTCGCCTGTCTCCAGGCCCCGCCACTCAACACATACAATCATATAACATAGCACATAACGCATAAACTAAACATACTCTACTGAATCCATGTACTAAGGCCTCGCCTATCTTGGGCCCCGCCCCTGTCCTGCTACTGGTGAGTCATGGAACCCCGTCCATGCTCCTGCTAATAATGAGATACGGCCCCCCGCCCACACTCATCTCTCTCCTAACTCGGGCCTCGCCCCTGCTCTACTACTAATGAGATATGGAACCTCGTCCATACTCTGCTAATGGTGAGATACGATACCTCGCCCACACTCACCTCCCTACCAGGCATATACAAGTATCACAAAGACAACAAGTATAAACTAGCATACAAACATTCCTCGGACTCCCGCCCGACATCGGACCTTGGTCCGAAATAACATACTTGTTGGATATAGTGTCTAAGTCCATAACTATATTTGGTATGTACTTGACCCGACCCGGCATGGTCCATTTGGGTTGCACTTCAACCCGAACAATTTATGGATAATCGTTTGAGAATAGTATAAGTTATGATTTATTAATATATTATAAGTCCTAATATATTAATATAAAATCATATTATTTAATTAGTATTGATCTATAATTAATCTAGAATTAATTTAGAGATCAAAAGTATGACTAATTAAATATGGGCTCTTGTATTTATATAGTGTGGGCTAATGCTTATTTGGAATGGGCTAGGCTTGCATGGAAAGTCCATGGATACTCCATGGAGCTTTAACCCATGGATCTCATGGAAATGAAAAGACATGGGTATTAGGGTTTACATGGATGTAACCCTAATCCACCACACTATATAAAGGAGGCTTTGGTTCTTGAAATTGCACTAGTTGATGTGTGTAAACTAAGAGGGCCGATTTCAAGAAGTTTGTGACTATTCTCTCAAGTTTCCAAGTTTGTGGTGATTTGTGACTTCCATTTGAGGCATCCACATTATTGGTGCTAGGCTCTCAAACTCCAAGCAATCAACTACTACTACAAGGTAAGTAATTCTACTAGTTTTATTTGATTCAAGTACCCCATGCCATGCTAGTTAGGATAAGAACCTTGGAAAAATAATTATTTGCATGTATCTTAGTCAAACATAGATCCAAGGTTTCTAGGGTTGCATGTACACCATAGGAGTGTTAGAATGCTGAAAACCCATCAATACTAGCATACAGTGCCTAGGGCTAACCCCCGGGTCTTCCTACTCATAAACTACATGGGCCGGCATTATGGTCGTAGACCCATTCACACAGTTAGTAGACTCACCTCTCACTGTTGAAGACCTGCTGATACTCTTCTTGCTGCTAGCTGGCAATCCTCCGGACTGCTGATCCTTCAAATCTCGAACTTCTATTAACTGCCAAAGTAACAATTAGACCACAATATTCCAAAAGTCAATCCAGGTCAACTTGGTCAAAGTCAACCTCCAGTTGACTTGACTCGTCGAGTTGGTCTA